GGAAACTTAAAACACCATTATATCGGTTTGTGTGACGTATTGTCATTGGAACAAAATGAAAGGAGAATAGTAATGGATTGCAAAATCGATTAACACACTGCTTCCTTGTCCTCACATGGTCGTACTTGTAGTAGTAGTAGTAGTAGTAGTAGTAGTAGTAGTAGTAGTAGTAGTAGTAGTAGTAGTAGTAGTAGTAAATCAGGGACCATGAGTCTTCCTCCTTATCAGCACTTTCTCGATTGATTGGCACGTGTCCTCCCTATGTAATAAAAAAATCGTCGGCGTGCCAAACATAACCGGGGCACCGGGTTGTTAATTTCAGTCACGCTGTTCGCATGAACAAGAGTCATCAACCGTTAGAACAAAAAGTAATACTTTGAGTAACATGAGTACGTACTCGTAGTACGAAGATCGTTTTTGCACGTAACGATGCCGTACACTACTCGTACTGATGCAACGTTGGAGTGGTAGTAACTCGCACCCATGGCGTGCCCATCGCTCCTCGATACAGTGAAGTAAAATTCAATTTTTTTTTTATTACTGCGCACCTCCGAACACGATCAGGAAGCGCCGTCGTGTTTTGCTGCGTTCTTTACGAAACATCGATGCGTTGACTTCACAAATTCCGCTCTTCGATGGTAGAAATTCGAAGCGAAACTAGTAGAAAAAATCTATTACGGCGCACCCATAGATAACCGTTAGTAATCCAGGTGTGATTGTAACATACCAAAAATTCAATGCAGACGATACAATACTATTTAAAATTAATTCGAGAATCATCTGTTTGGTTATAAACCATGATGATTTCAAGGTTGGCACCAGCAACCTTACAATTGCTATCCGCCTTCTGGGCGCTGGCTCCAGTAATCTCTACTCAGAGTAGAGACCTACAGAATGGCATGGGCCTTGGCTGGAATGAGAATCCAGGATCTTGCCACGGGACGCTGTTTTACTTTCAGAGCGAAGTTTTCGTTGATTTCGGTGGATTCGATACCGATGTTAATGATCTTACACGTATCAGGTGGGAAGAACTTGAAAGGTCGTTTCGGATGTCATACAATGCCCTCTCTGAAGATCTCTGCGACAATTCATACCGTCGCGTTGTCGACGTGTCAATCAACGAGCAACCAGATGGTGATATTTTGATAAAAAGAGGCGGGAATCAATACAGCTTGAGTTATACCGTCGAAGCAGTCTGCAGAGGCTGTGACCCTAGCTCCGTGACTCTCTTCTCCCCTCCTAATCCTGACTACTTCAGAAAGCTCATTTCTTCAGACGGAGCAACCATTGACTCGATGGATGAAAATCCGTTGAATGCGGTTCTGCAAAAAAGGCGTCGTAATTCCGAAAAGTCATCGAAGTCTGAGAAAGGATCGAAAGGTTCCAAGTCAAAAGCCGAAAAATCGAAAAAGAGCCACTACTACAGAAGTGGCACAGGTAGTGTCGATGAAGGCACTATCAACGGCTCTGAGAACGGAAAAGGGACTGTGGCTGGAAAAGGGGTCGAGGCTGGAAAAGGTAATGATGCTGGAAAAGGCGATGGAGGTGAAGGAGATGCTGTTGACGGTCGCGAGGACGAATATGATTGTGGGTGCAAATCGCAATACCCAAAATACCGTGCACCAACTGAAGAAGAGTTTGCTACAGCATATGGTTTTTCAATTCGAGAGATTGAAGAAAAGCCACGTGCCCAGCGACATGCTGGAGTTATAGTTGACAACGTTCTAAAAGTCACAGAAATCCAAGATGTATCTTGTTCGATTGTGACAGAGACGTTTGAATCAACCGTTGCAATCGAATTCTTCGGAAATTATGAAGCTGTAACAGATCAGGAGAGAAGTATTCTAGAACAGAACTTCGTGTGGGCTTACAACGGTCTCCAGGATCACAGATGCGATAGCCCTGAATTCCGCAAAGCGACGTCAGCTGATATTTTCTTCATGATCGACCCCATTGCAAAAGGTGAAACAACTTTTGTTTATTTGCTAAATGTGAAAGGAACTTGTCGCGGGGAAGGTTGCTCGAAGAGTGACGATTTACTGCTTTTTTCGGCATCTGAAACAGGCGGCTTTTTCAGAAACCTTCAATTCGTTGACGGAGCGGAATGTACATGCCCGCTTTGGGGTACTGCATTTGGGCCACCATCAACTTCCGAAATGGAAGTTAGGTATTTTCAAGTCATACAAGATCTCAGATTTTTGGACGGTCCATTTACAAGACTCAAGAGTATTGATGCTAGTGGCTTCGTCAAGGAAATTGGAGAGGGTGCAAGCACACCTTTTCCAACATTTCGGCCGACTCTTCCGCCGGCTGAAGTCCCGGCAATACCGGGTGTTCCAACACTGAAACCTGTCACCCTCAGTCCGACCAGAGAAGGAGAGACTCGTTCACCCACCCGTGAACCCACAGATTTCCCAACACGCAAACCTGTCACGCTCAGTCCAACGAGAGAAGGAGAGACTCGTTCACCAACTCGCGAACCCACAGATTTCCCTACGCGCAAACCTGTGACGCTCAGTCCAACGAG